TGGGTAGTTACAAATACAATTAGCAATCAAATTTGTTATCTAACTGAATAATGAATATAGAAAATATGTCATTTTAACTTCCAAAAGGTATTACACTAGTTATGTAAATTTGAAATCGTTTTATCCATGCATTATTAATTCTGGGTGTCCACATTTTTCTATCGACATCTAAAAGAACAATTTATATTATAAAAATTTAATATTTAAACAATTTTTATAAGCAATTTAATATTACCTATATAAAAAGTAATAATCATACAATTGTTCTTCTTTAGGAAACCGAAAAAATGTATATTTTTATTTTCTTTCTTGCATTTCCGATACTGATTTAGACATTCTTTGTAACTGCAAATAATTGTTAATAAAAACGCCAAAGTTTTAAAAATAAATAACTATAAATCCACTGTAAACCACTTTTTAAAACACTTCAATACAGCTAACGGCAACAATGTTTACAAAATGCCCAAAATGGCTATTATGTGATTTATACGTAACGTCTCTAACATAAACCACACGGAGATAAAACATATACGGAAGTATTCGGGCTTCATCGGTAATGTATTCAATTCGCAGATAAAAACCGTTCATACGTAGCATCATTTTATGGGCAAAATAATCAAAAACTCTATTTTACTCTACAAAATTTATATATATTTAAAGTTTTGTATTTCATATTTATTCTGTTTAATGCAGAAATAATAGTAAATCTGAAAATATCATCTTACGTTGTCACACAGCTGTTCTGTTGGGAAATACGCACGCGTTCAGTCTCTTTAACTTGGATGTATCTCCATTCGAGTTGCACAAAGTAGCCCTATCTGTAAGTGTCGCATATGGGTTAGATATGTGGTATTACATACTTCCGAAACATACCTACTTTTATTTTTCCGTTGAAATGCTTTTCATTATAAACATTCTTTTATAAACGCATTTTGTTTTGGTAATTAAATGTCTTTTCGTTAGCGTCGTGTTCCTCAATTCATTATCATTAATATTTATTTTTTCCTCAATAATTTACGAATAACTTGATAACAAAAAAAGATATCGAACCCTTTTTGGCGTCAAAATGTAGCTACTTTTATGCTCTTCAAACTAACATATAAAAAGTTTTATCCTGCTATTTCACTTTTTTAAGAAAATGTGAAACAACCTAAACTTGGATAAATAGCGCCAATAAATAAACAACACTTCCGTTAGAAATTTCAAACTTATACTATGTTAATCAATTTTTGTGCTGAATTCATTTATGTAAAGAAGACTATAGCATTGCATTTAAAATTTTTGAGAAAAATGTATTAAATGGCATTCTTTTGAAATGACGCCCATCTATAGGTTTCCATATTGAGGTAAATGACATTACGCATTCACCACGAGATAAAGCATGAAAGGACGTTTCCAACGAGGTTTTTGATGAGCCAATCCTTAAAAAAATGCATTTCTCTGATCAGACATTAGGGGCTTCCCCCACCCTTTCTGTCAAGAGATATAACAAAATATCAATAACAAAAGTTATGCGCAATGATTCCGGCTATCCATATTTGTACTATCTAATATACCTGATTAGGAAACATTTCTGAGAAAAATTCAAATCTATGTTTTGGTATGTAGATTGCACCCCCTAGCGGTCGAGCTACGAATTAGAAAACTATTTCCAGCGATTTCTCTTGGTAGATTTATTAATCAAAATTTTTTCCCCAAAGTATTAACGGTATCGAGCGGCTGTATATAGAAAACTAGACGTGCTACGATTATGGGGTAAAAAATCTATTAACAAATACGATCAAAAGAAATTGATTTAAAATATTTTCAAGTTTGAAAAACTTTGACACATCGTAACTTCACCGCTAGGGGGCGCAACTGCTATATTGTTACAGAAAATTGTCGGTTTTTCGAAATTTCGCTTATATAACCTAAGTTGCAAATACAGTTTTTAGATACACTGTTAAACCCTTCACAAGCTTTGTTTGAACTTTTTTTTTTGTTATTACCATAGCAATGTCAGTATGAAGGACGCTATCTTGAAATTTTTAAATTGTCATAACTTCTAAATGCCTTAATCGATTTCAGTAAACGATGGCTCATTTTAAAGAACTATTAATAAAATTTATTTTTATGATATAGGAATGAAAATATTATTTTCCCGCGCAACGGTAGACGACGCTAATGAGAAAAGTTTTGTAATTGTCTCCGTTTACTAAAAAAATTAAATGCAACGATATAGATTTTTTTTCATGGCTTGATAGAACATTCATTATGGAAAACAAATACGCAAACCGGAGGTCAATATCTTTTTTCGTTTTCAAGTTATTGCTAAAATAGTGAGGTTGTGCTAGAACATCCTCCTTTATTTAGTTCTCTAAATAACATTGACATAATCCAAGCCAAAATTAAATTGTAAAACTATACCAATCTTGTCCTTAAAAAGAATTATTGCTTTATTTTAAAATTTATTTGTAACTGCAATATTTCATTTTTTTATTAATTCCAAATATCTGAGTAGTTATAAAGATTATTGTTTCCATAACGAGGCAGGCTATGCCCTATGAAAATAGACAACTGAAAAATTATGCCAAACGAAATGTGACAGCTCTTGCTACGTGCAAAATTAGTGTTATTTGTGTTGGAAAAGTGCTTGTGAACAAGGAAAATGCCTTTTACGAATGTGGAAGAGTATAATATGTTGGCAGTTCAATGTTTGAAAAATGCCGTTATAGCTTCAAGAGAATACGCTTTGCGATACCCTCGTAGAATACGTTACTCCAGATAAGTATTTCAGCATTTATCCAGACGCCACTACATTCTGTAAGAAGACATCGCCGTGCAAGAACGGAAGACAGTATTATTAATATGTTGGCTTGTGTCCATGTAAATACCCAAATAAGTCTAAGGGAATTAGTTAGAGACCTGGGAATTTCATATGGAACACAAGTAGGTATTTTTCTCACGCGAATGACACTAATTTTGCACGAAGCAAGAGCTATCACATATCGTTTGACATGATTTTTTATTTGTCTATTTTCATAGGACATAGCCTCCTTCATTATGGAAACAATAATCTTTATAACTACTCAGATATTTGGAATTAATAAAAAAATGAAATATTGCAGTTATCAAAAAAAATTCAAAATAAAGCAATAATTCTTTTTAAGGACAAGGTTGGTATAGTTTTACAATTTAATTTTGGCTTGGATTATGTCAATGTTATTTAGAGAACTAAATAAAAGAGGATGTTCTCCAGTTTGTGTATTTGTTTTCCATAATCAATGGTCTATAAAACCATGAAAAAAACTTATATCGTTGCATTTAATTTTTTTAGTACTTAAACGGAGACAATTACAAAACTTTTCTCATTAGCGTCGTCTACCGTTGCGCAGGAAAATAATATTTTCATTCCTATATCATAAAAATAAATTTTATTAATAGTTCTTTAAAATGAGCCATCGTTTATTGAAATCGATTAAGGCATTTAGAAGTTATGACAATTTAAAAATTTCAAGATAGCGTCCTTCATTCTGACGTTGCTATGGTAATAACAAAAAAATAGTTGAAACAAAACTTGCGAAGGGTTTAACAATGTATCTAAAAAATATATTTTGAACTTAGGTTATATAAGCTAAATTCCGATAGACCGACAATTTTCTGTAACACTATAGCAGTTGCGCCCTCTAGCGGTAAAGTTACAAACTTGAAAATATTTTAAATCAATTTCTTTTGGTCGTATTTGTTGATAGATTTTTTACCCCATAATCGTAGCACGTCTAGTTTCATATATACAGCCGCTCGATATCGTTAATGGATCACCCTGTAGTACTGGAGGTAGCATGCCATTGTGAAAAGTGGGGCTGAGTGTGCGAGAGAGACAGACAGTATCTCATTACATGCAGTCTCACTGTAGCACGCCGCGATTGGTTGAAGCATTGGAGAGGAGTGGGGGGAATTGAATTAATTAGCTGGAAAAATTATCACGTATGGTGAACATTTTAAAAAAGCAAGTAGAAATACCTCAAGAAAAAGAAATAGTGGTACGCAAAAAACACTCCGTCACGGTCAAATTCCAGATACCAACTGAATTGCGTATTGCTGGTTGCTGGACTGCTTAGTACCTCGTGTTAATTGCCGCGCCGTTGTCACATTGCTCGATATGAATTTTATGGAATTTTAAATTTACTTCAACGCTAATTATTTTTTAGAATTAAGCATAAAGAAGTTCAAAAAAGTGATAAACATTGTATTTTATGGTATTTTATGCACGCAATTATCTCAATATTCCTTAATTAACCGAACTTTTGTACACCAAGTTGGAGATATTGATAATTTTTTTCTCGGCAATGGTCGAGTTTAGGACCCATGTCATATAAGGTTTTTTGTTTATTTTAATGTATTCTATCGTCTGTTAAAATTGAGGCAGGCAAACTTCTAACATCCTGTATGAAAGTCACTTAAACAATCATCATTTACTTTTATTTGTTTGTACTACGTACTTGCCATATTTTTTTAATATCACATTTTTCTCCAGAAAACGCTTGTCCCAATAATTATTGGTCAATATTAAATTAAGAAACATTTCCTCTTATTTTTATTTAAAGATGCACCAATATGGACCACATGATGGGCTAGTCTGTATAACAAATTATTACCATCAAATACCTTGATACTAAGTAACAATTAAGACTAGCAAAAATGATATGATTTCAGCGAAAAGTCGTTAGGTCCTTTGTCTCAGATGTCTGTGATTCATCACTTACAAAAGCTTCTACAAGAATATGAAGAGGCCAAACAATCCTTCAGTGAGGCGCTCCTATTACAAAAGAAAATTGGTGAATCCGATGTGTTAATAACACCACAGAAAATTCAAGAAAGCATACAGGAACTGTACAGGCTAAAATATAACGGGAAGAAGATAAAAGAACTCTACGAATGCCAGAAAAAATCCCGTACCATAGAATACAAACATTCAGAGTACGTACACGAGATACCATACCAACCAGAGGAGGACAGCAGCAAAAATCAGAAAAAGAATACTACTAAAAAAACATATCATCAAAGCAGAGAGTCTAATAAGGGTGAGTTTATTTATAGTACCTATATAAAGCGAAATGTTCCTATTGTAAAGAAATTATAGAAATGTAGCCCTTAAGAGTAAATTGCCAGGTGAATAAAAATTAAAAAAATAGGTTTTTACTAGCCATCTCGGAATCACAAAATCTTTTTCAGTATTTAGACAATTCTCTAGAATTTGATTACGCCTAGGCCTCTTATAAATAGGGTTAAAAAAACCCTATATATAATGATGGCTAAATTGTCTAAATACAAGATGTACCATGTAAAATGGATTCTTTCATAGAACAAGTAATGTTGATAAGACAAAATTTTCGTCATTCATTTTAATTATTTTATATTATGCAGAATGTCCCATTTCTTCTGAGTATTATTTAACTTCATTTAATTTCCTCGTTGAATTTATGCCGCCTTTTTTAAATATGTAAATATTCCCCGAAAATATCAAATATATCCGAACTTAAACAAGATGTGGTTTTCACCAAAAACTTATCTTCTGCATTATAATTTTATTTCCTTTTGTTTTTATTATGGTACGTTGGGGTCCATTCTTTTTAATTTGCGAGATATTTTTCGTTGTTATTTCCGTGTTAAAAATGGACTCTCACCATTTTTTTGGAGGAAAAATTTTCTATATGGCTTTTCGTAGACGAAAATTACTAACCAAATTTACAAGTTAATGTGAATTTAAATTTAGTTTAAACTAGAGTAGCAAATTCAGTTAATTTAAACAAAAGACACAAAACAACCAAATTTTCAACTGTCTATCATGACGTTTAAACAAATGATTGCATCAAAAATAAGCGAAAAACAGAATTTTTTTCAGTATAAACATTTTTTAAGTAATACAATTCTATGGAATATACCTATACCTTCATAAAAAAATCCATACTTTGGAAGATATTTTTACAAATTATAGTCGTGGACAATAAAAACTAAACTACTCTACTAAACTGTATGTACTGCATTGTAGTGTACTTACTACTGTTTACACCCTGTATAGAATGTTGGATTAAATGCTTTAAATGGAAACATTTTTCTGTCCACAGTTATACAACATAAACTAGTCACAAAAATTAAGGGATATTAAAAAAATCCCAAATTTTTGGGTGATTTTCAAAGAGCTGTAACTTGGAGGGAAATGGTCGTAGAGAGAATAAAAAAATGAAATTGAAGCTTCAGTCTCTAGTTTTCGGATCTGGAGTTTAAAATTTTTTAACGTCAGCGATTTTGGAGTAATCATAAGAAAACTAACGAAGAAAGTAAATTTTTCCAAATTTTTGCTCGTCACTAAAAAGAATTTTTCTAATATCCAAAAAAAAATCGAATTTCCGGATTGGAGTTTTTGGGTAAGAAAACATGTAAACGATTTTTTTAATTAAGTTTTAAAGTGACATTTAAAACTAAGGCATTTACAGTGGTCAAAATCATTAAACCAACATTTTTTTGACGGTTGTGAAGCATTGTGGATGTTAAAAATTTTTTTTTAACAATTTTTTTTATTTTTATTCATTTTTTATAATATGTAATTAATGATTTTTGAAGAAAATCTGGATTATTGCTAAAAAAACATTTTCAACTTAAAAAAAATAATAAAAAGCGAAAAATTGCCCGTTACATTGATTTTCAGCAAATACAAATTTCAGCAAATTTAAATATTCCGGGCACTAGGAAAAGAAAATAGCAACGCTTTGAAACTATCAGGGTTTCTTTAGGACATTTTGAGGTTGAAAAGTTACAGCTATTATCCTTAGTTTATCCATTTTGCAAAGTTATTCAAATATAATATAATTTTTTACAATTCTTCCAACATTTCCAATTTTTTTATCAAAGACCAATAATTGCAACTTGTAAAGAATACTTTTCAGTTTTCAATACCCTACTTGGATTTTCTGTACGATCATTATTTCCCGAGTAATTGATTGCCAAAGTCAAAATGACTTTTTTGCTTTGATCGACGGTAACTCAGCGACAAATCATCGTACAGGGCTCCGGAACCCCTCAAATTGTAGGGAATTAAATTATCTAAAAGAGCTTTATGGTGAAATTACAAAAAAAACATTGAAGTCCATAAACCTGTTTAAAGACAAGTAATAATTTTGAAAATTGTTGTTAGTTGGTTTTCTTATGATTGCTCAAAAATCGCTGCCACTAAAAAATTTTAAACTCCAGATCCGAAAACTAGAAACTTGAAGATTCAATTTCCTTTTATTCTCTCTACGACCATTTCCCTTCAAGTTACAGCTCTTTGGAAATCACCCACAATTTTGGGATTTTTTTACTATCCTTTAACTTTTGTGACTAGTGAATTACGTGATTTTTTTAGCAACTTATGGGTACCAAACCAAAAACAACGAGAAAGGTGTAAGAGACTATTCACAAAGTCGATACAGAGACCATTCTCTACCCCCATCATATCCAAATTCATCCAATCATCCCCCAGATCCAAGATATCAATATAATTCCAGACCATATCATCCTCCATATAATCATCCACGTACTCACTGCCATTCTCGTATCGATCCATGGATCAACCATCCTTCAAATTATCCAGGAAACCAGCGGCCTCATAGCTCTCTAGGAGATTACCCTTACAGATATACGCCTGTACCTGGTCCGGACATGCATTATTATCCTCCAAATGCTTACAATCCAGGATATTGCCGTACAGGTTGGTAATAAATTTGAATGTTCTTGTAGCGATCATATTGCTAATGTTTAGGTATTACAGGGTAACCTGGGGGAAAACTGACGACGTGCCAATGCCGACGTCATTCGAATATACAATAATATTGAATATTGTCTTAGTTTGTTCTCCCAAAAGTAAAATATTTTGTTTCAAATTTTAAGGGAACAGCCATATTTGTGGGGTAATACCACTGCTAATACCTAAATCTATATTTTTCAATACTGCTAGATTTCTTATAGCAATTTAGTGTTGGGGTCGTTAGGTAACATATAGTGTATATTTCATATTTTTACTTGTAACACATTCGATTTTTCATTTTTATGTGTATAGTTGTTCCAGAAATAATTTTTCCATTTGCCATTATAACTTAGTATAGTTCTTCATCAATTTATTGGGTCAAAAATTGATAAATTTTATAGATGGCTCCATCTGTCGTGTTGACTCCCAACTGTGCCATTCAAATGGCTACAGTTAGGAAGCGACCTGCCACATTGCAGGTACCTGTTGCACGACTGCCAGCTACAGAGGGCGAAGACAATGTTTTAACTGTCAGTGTTGTGAGAAACAACTACTCCGAGGGCTATATGCCCCTACCAGCATTGAATTATACTCGCAACACCTAGTGCAACAGCTACGGTCGTTCGTCATCAGTTTAACCCACCAGGCACAGATCGGTTTCGGACTTATTAGTCCTCATCAGTGTGTCATAGGTGGGGCAACCGACGAAGGAACCAGCTGTTTTGCGTCGTATCGTCACGACTAGGAAATACATTGTACGCGGGAGCGCAAACGGCACCATCTGTCGTGCTGACTCCCAACTGTGCCATTCAAATGGTTACAGTTAGGAAGCGACCTGCCATGTTGCAGGTACTTGTTGCACGACTGCCACCCACAGAGGGCGAAGACAATGTTTTAATTGTCAGTGTTGCGAGAAACAACTACTCCGAGGGCTATATGCCCCTACCGGCATTGAATTATACTCGCAACACCCAGATCGATAGTATATTTTTTTAGGAGAGATAGGCCATAGAATCACAATGCGTTCCTTATATCGCCGTATTCATTTACCCAAGATTAATGCCCCCTCTAACCAAACATCGTCGTGCCCTTAGATTGAAATGGTGCCATGCACGAGCAAATTTTTCTTGTGGGCCCGCGACCGTCGTAAACGAGTCAGGCGTCGAAGAGGAGAAAGACGGTTCTTGGAGTTTGCCGTAGAACGGGAAACAGCTCTTACCAGAGGTTTTATGGTGTGGGGTGGAATTAGGATAAGTAGCAGAACTCCTCTAGTATTTCTCCAAGGCCAATTGAATGTCCAAAGATACATTCATGAAGTTCTGGAACCGTTTGCTGTACCATACATTCGAGGGTTAAATAATGTCACGTTCCAACAAGATAACGCTCGCCTTCATATTGAAGCGGTTACACTACAGTTCTTGGAAGAGGCTAACATCAATATTTTCCCATGGCCCGCATGTTCACCTGACCATTCGCCTATCGAACATGTCTCGGGTCAAAGATTGGAAATGCTCTCAAACTCTCCAATGAACTTACAACAGCTGCATGATGCTCTACAAATTGCTTGGGATGACCTTTCTCAGGACTCTATAGATCCCCTCATTAGAAGCATGCCCGTTCGAACCGCAGAATGTATTCGTTTAAATGGAGGGGCAACCCATTACTGAATTTGAACTCTGTACATCATAAACACATGTAGAAAATTTGGTTAAAAATTATACTTTTACTAGGCGTTTTTTTTTTGTCACAGTATATTTGAAGCGATTTTAACTATGTTGTGGAAAACAACTACTCTGCTAATATTTAATAAACAACTAAAATCAGCATCACTCGCTATTTTCCAATAGGACAAAGTAATGCTTTATGTTAGTAACCAATGACATTTAAGAGTGACATATCTAAATGCAAGAAATAATTAACTGANAAAAAAAAATTAAAAAAGTGAATTTTCCTAGACCAGATTCGAACCCGGGACCAGCGGTTGGAAGGGAAGGAGCATCTACACTGAGCCATCAGCGACTTCGTTTGTGCGTGTCGTATATCTGTTGCTTAACATACCATGTTTTTCGAAACATTTCATAAATCTAAGTAGCTTTTAAAACAAAACAAATTTGACTCAAACCTGTCAACATTATTGTTTGTGTGCATAGATTTCTCAGTGTTTTGATATTTTGTGTTAAATTGTGTTAAAAAACGAACTAAAAACAAAAAAAACTTCAACAAAAATATTTAGTAGTCGTGGATAAAGTATAGTATTCTACTCCCGTATAATGGCTATTATCCACTCGGTGATTTAGGCCACTCTTCACCTCGTGAATAATACCCATCATTATACGCTCGTTGAATAATATACTATTATTAGCTTATTTATGTTATTTACTATCACTGAAAATTTTTAAATTTCTTTGTTTTATTTAAGTTAGATAATTTCGAAGCAATAATGTTTTTGCATAAATGTGTAGTTTAAGGAGAGAAATTCAAGAAAAGGCATCTGTGTATTATGAATTAAAATCAGTAGCAGTCAGCAAAATATTACAAAAATATTTTATTTTAAGTGATAAAGCTGTGCGGGAATACGTTCCTCTCTAAAAATAAATTGGTAGTATTTTTTTCTGCTCCCTACGAATCTGATTGTACCTACTATAAAGTATTCTTATTTTCTTTTTTGAGATCAAAATCCCTTACGTACAAGGTGTGCTGAAATTATCGTGAAATATTTTATATTTTATTAAATAGTGTATATGAGGTTGGGAAGAGAAATACTTCCTAAGGAATCCAAGTTTCTTCTCTTAAAGGTGAGCGGTCAAAAATAGTTTTTTTTTTCATTGTTTTCTAAACCGTTCAAGAAAAAAACCAATGAAATTTCAAAGCAGATACTACATATTTAGGATTTGAATCAAATGCTTGTCAATTTTCATCAGTTATTTTTTACTACTCTTCTACTATTCGTTCAAATAATGTTTGTTAATTTTATACTACAAAAGTGCTCTAGATTATTTCTATAGCTTACACCATTTTTAAACACAGTTGAGTATAATATGCTACACAGGGAATCATTAGTATCACCTGAAAACCAAGTGCTAGCGTCTTTCCCAGGAAATAAGAGCTAAGTCCGTAAGAATATTACGAAATACCAAATTTACAAATCATCAATGTGGAAATTGTACTACAAACCGGGCAAATTAAAAGCGACCAATCTTAAAAATTGAGAAACAAATAGCTTCTGTGCTTCCAACGTTCCTTAGGAACTACATAGCGAACTTAATCTAAAAGATTCAAGAACACCTCAACTTTATTGCCTTCCATAGATTCACAAGCCAAAAGTGACCTGGCAAGTTAAAAACACTGGAGATTTTATCGACAAGATCATGGAAATTCACAGATCCAGATGAAATCCTGAGTTTATACGTGATATCAATGTTCATATGAATACCAATTCAACAAGCTTTGGAAGAACAACATCGTCGAAGGCTTGTCATAGAAGATAAGAATTGGGATTTACTAGATCTAACAAAAGTATGCACTAGATTATCTTCAGGAATCAGTTTTATGATCAAACTGAATTAGCTATTCACACTCTTCCCCAGTTTTGGTAAATATGGAACATAGAAGCTTTTGAAGAAAAAGCGACATAAATAGATTACTGTCAGCTACACCATGAAGTCATAGGAACACGATAGTCTACAGGGTGTTAAAAAAAGAGTGTAAAATATTTCAGGAGGTAATAGTATGAACCAAAATAAGCAGAAAAGTCTTAATAAACATGGGTCCGCAAAGTAACGGTTGCGGAGATATGGACCACTATTCGTTTTTCAAACATTTTATTTTATTAGGAATAAACCGACAAAGGAAGCTTTTAACAAACAAAAAACAAAGTTACAGAAGATGTTCAAAGTGCCCTCCGTCCATTTCCAAGCAGGCACGACATCTTCGTCTCAACGATATTCGAACTCTTTCGAAAACACCCTCCTTGGTTTGGATTTCTTGACACTTTTGATTAATCCGTAGCTGCAGCTCTTCCAGGCTATTTACAGGAGTACCATACACTAATGTCTTCAAATATCCCCAAACAAAGAAATCTAGAGGGTTCAGATCAGGCGATCTTGGAGGCCATAAAACAGGTCCGGCCCTTCCTACCCATCTATGTGGAAAAGTTTGGTGTAAATGCTCTCTAACGGCCATGGAAAAATGAGCTGGAGCACCATCATGCTGGAACCACATTTGTTGCCTCTGATTCAAAGGAATGTCTTCCAAAAACTCATACAGTGTGTTCTGCAGAAAGTTGAGGTAAGCAGCGCCTGTTAATCGGTTTGGTAAAACAACAGGACCTAGAAACCTGTCACCTACAATACCCATCCAAATGTTTAATGAAAAACGTGCCTGATGTCCAGATTCTATTAGAGCATGAGGATTTTCGTCGGCCCAAATATGCGTATTGTGAAAATTAAACACTCCATTTCTTGTGAACCCGGCCTCATCAGTAAAAAGAATGTTTGCAAGAAAACGAGGGTCTTCAGCATCATGACGTAGAAACCAGCGGCAAAAAACCAAACGTGCTTGATGATCATTTATTGGATTTAAGGCCTGTACTCGTTGCACATGGTATGGATAAAGCAGTTGCTCGTGAAGGATTCTCCAAACAAGAGGACCACTAATTCCTACCTCGGCTGATATTCTCCGCACACTCGTACCTGGATTCTGCTCTACCAGTGCTAGAATTTCTTCTTCTGCTCTAGGAGTGGATACCGACCTTGGTCTTCCGGATAAATGGCACTGTTTGCTCAAGGAACCGGTATCACGCAATCTTTGGTGAATTCTTCCAAACATGCGTTGTGAAGGAATCTGGCGATTTGGATAAGCGTCAACATAAAGACGTCGCGCTTCGGTGGCGTTCCCATTAGCACGACCATACATGAAATGCATGTCTGTTAATTCTGCGTTAGAGTAACCAGCCATAGCGAAAGAAAACTTGTGCACTGAGAACAACTGTCAAATACGTACTGTTTATTTCACTAAACATCAACCAACTATTATAAGAAAATACTCAACGTTTTTGCAAAATAAAAAAGGGGCTAAAAAACATAAAACATTCCATATCTCCGCAACCGTTACTTTGCGGACCCATGTTTATTGAGACTTTTCTGCTTATTTTGGTTCATACTATTGCCTCCTTAAATATTTTACACTTTTTTTTTAACACCTTGTATAATGCCTAGATATCTATGTCAATATGAATTCAGAAATATCCGTAAAATATTTTCAGGCGTTGTAGCTATTTTAGGAAAAATGTTTGCGCCACTATTCATATAAACTTTTTCTCTTATTTTTAGTTGTAGATATTCTGCATATCGTATGAAAATACTATAACTATTTACCGTTTCAGATATGGGCGTGCCAAACAGAAATAATGATGTAAGAAATAGTTATGAACTTAAAGTGGTTTTGAACGGGTCAAAGACTGAGCCCCTACCAAATAATCCTCCATCGCATTTACCTCCTTCAGGGCAACAATTCCAACCAGATTTTTATCCACCAGGAACATCTTACTCTCCAAATTATGAAGATTTTTTACACTACAATTGTGGACGTTATGATAATTATCATTTCCGAGGTACTGGTAGGCCACAACAAAGCCAAAGGGCACCTCAAAATAGACCCAATGAACGTGGTAACTATAGTAGAGGACGTGGCGGTTATAGAGGAAGACGAGGAGGACAACAGTGGTTTCCTAAAAATAATAATTTGAAAGCAGACAGTGATACTGATACAGATTAGTTTGCACTGTTTGAAATTTCTTTTTATTGTTTCATATTATTTTACTATTATTCCTTCATTTCCGTGTTTTTTAACATATGATAAACACAGAACAGTTTTATCCACTGAAAATATTCTATTGAGGCATATTAATTATAGCAAATACCTATATAATAATAATTTGAAGTTTAACTGCAATATATGTAATATTTAACATCAAATCTTTAGTACTTAACAACTATACAGGGTGTTAGTAAATAAGTGCGACAAATTTCAGGGGGTGATTCTACATGAGAAAATAATGGCGGTTTGCTTATAAACGTGTGTCCGCAAATGATTCCTTTTCCGAGATACGGGGTGTCAAAGTTTTTCTTAAAAACTGACGATTTAATTTATTGCTCTGAAACCGGTCGAGATGTGCAAATGAAATTTGGTGGGTTTTAAGAGGTAGTTATTGCGCATTTTTTGTCATGCAATTAAGAATTTTATGTTCATCATTGGCGCGCGTACGGGTAATAATCTCAATTTTTTTAAAGAAAAAAATGGTACGCCACTGAAATATTACAAATTAAAAATAATTTTTTAATTCCTCGTTCAATTTGTGACAAAAAATCTCTCTTGCCATTTCTTCGTATGGGGCGCCGTTTTCATGCAAAAAATAAAACATCTTAACGCGTATTTTTTATTTCTTTAACACATTATCAAGAACTATCTAATATCTACAATAACATTAAACCAGAACAATAACAGAAAATAACACTAATAAAATTTTGAAAAGCCGCAAAGCTACAACAAATGTTCAAAATTACCTCCCTCAGACGTGACACAAGATTTAACTCTTCGCCTCATTGATTGTGTATTAAAGAAATAAAAAATACGCGTTAAGATGTTTTATTTTTTTGCATCAAAACGGCGCCCCATACAAAGAAAAGGCAAGAGAGATTTTTTGTCACAAATTGAACGAGGAATTCAAAAATGATTTAAGATATTTCAAACAACTCATATTTCTATTAATAATAAATTTTTCCTAAAAACAGACCTTGTTTCTGGTCAGCATGCTACGTCTGCATTTATTTTTAATTTGTAATATCTCAGTGGCGTACCATTTTTTTCTTTAATTACCCGTACGCTCGCCAATGATGAACATAAAATTCTTAATTGCGTGTCAAAAAAATGCGCGATAACTACTTCTTAAAACCCACCAAATTTCATTTGCACATCTCGACCGGTTTCAAAGCAATAAATTAAATTGTCAGTTTTTAAGAAAAACTTTGACACCCCGTTTCGGGGGGAAATCTCGGAAAACGAATTATTTGCGGACATACGTTTATAAGCAAGCTGCCATTATTTTCTCATGTAGAATCACCCCCTGAAATTTGTCGCACTTATTTACTAACACCCTGTATACTACTATTTTTAGCACTATTGTCATGTAATTTTTTATCACATTACATATTTTTATTTTTGATCTATTTATCTTTTTATACAATTTTTTTTTTACTTTTTAATTAATACAGCTATATTTAAATGTCAGTTGCTAAATACAGCGATGGTAAGAATGTATTATCCTCTTATACCTCTTTAAGAAAAAAAGTGTTTAAATTGTAAATGAAACTATTTTTAATAAATGTTTAATTAAGCAGAATATCTGCGTTTTTTTAATCAACCAATATTGTTAATTTATTGCTTAATTTTTTTTGTAATGTATTCCCGTTTAAATTCCCCAGCTAGATCTAAAGTCGGCTCCAGATTAAGCAATCATTCTGCAAACAGTTGACTAAATAATTATAAACATCCTGTACATAGTCAAAATTACCATGGAACCATGTTTACCGATATTAAATTTACTAAACAAATCTGTAATTCTTTATTAACAAAAATATCTATTATTAATGGTGTGTGAATAAGGATTCCGAGCTTTATTCCTTATTCCTGTTCTTGGCAATGGACATATATTCCAAGCAGTTTTCTTTATAATGTCCTGTTATCTACCTTACCGATAATATTTCAATATTTTGTCCCCTATACCATATAATTCGATCATTCTCTTTTTACCTTTTCTTTAAAAAACTCCCATAGAAAAAATGACATGGAGGTCAAAGTAGGACCTCTTACTGATCATAAAATTATCCATTCAAATAAAAATTTAAATATACTGTTCTTTGTGTAAATCGTGACAAAGTTTATTATAAAAGATTTATAGGGTAGTATTCTTGCATAACAAGTATTTAAAGATCTGTTTAACGAAGTTAATAGCAATAAAGTATAAAAATTCACTGGTTCCATGACAATCTTGATTGTTTTCATTATGGAGGATCAGTAAATAAATCCAAATATTGTGCAAACTGAAAACTCAAGTGTATGTAAATATCACAGTAATCAGAAAACGGAGATTCCAATATGAGACAAATATATAGGCTGTTCCATTTAAAAAGCTAAGGTTTAGTTTATGCCTTCGAAACGCAACAGTCAATTGTTTTTTATTTTCTTTATTTCTTTGTTATCACAACAAAATTTCTTATAATTTTGGTGTTTTCCTAGAACCTATACCTATCTTTAACCGTTTTCGAGATAATGACGTCTAAATATAGATTATGGAAAATTTTCAAAAATTACTCTCGATACGTAAAGACTGTAACGTCAAAGTCAGTTGGAACTGGCGTACTTTCTGCTAAATACATTTTGTGTTTTTCAAATATTTAAGCGCAGCTAATAAAACATAAAACACACCACAGAAATGAGACAACCCCTAAATCCAAAAGCCAAAGGCTTGTGCGGAAGGGGGTTACACTTGAAAAAACGCGGACATGAATTTAATTATTAATTTTAATTTATTTGGTACAAACTGACAAAGCCAGAACACAGCAAGAATAATGTGAAATATTTAATAACAAATATCCAAATCAAACAATCATTCAAGCTACTGTAAGAAAAATTTGCAAAAAATTCAAGATTATAAACTAATCCAAACAAACAAGAGTTAAATTAAATGTTCAAATTGCCATCTACTGATATCTTGACAATACCCAAGCCTATGTACAAACTCATCTTGAACATTATTTAATACGTTTCTGTTAATATTGCTAATTTCCTGACTGATTCGGGTTTTTAAGTCCTCTATGTTTTGCTGTGGATTTACATAAACTTTGGATTTTAAATAACCCCCAGTCCAAAGGAGTGAGATCGGGTGATCTCGGAGGCCACTCTATTGGTCCCTTTCTTCCAATCCAACGCCCAGGAAAACATTCGTCTAAATAAGCTCGGACTTGACGAGTAAAATGAGGTGGCGCGCCATCCTGTTGAAAATACAAGGTATCGCTTGGCATGTCAGGCTCATTTGCGTTTGGAAAAATTTGAATTGGGGCGGGAATTAGATCAAACTGAAGGAAGGCCAAATATCTTTCTTCGAAGAAAAAAGAGGCAGGAACTTGATAATTAATTATGCCTGCCCACACATTCAATTTCTGTGGGTACTGAGTATGTGCTTCAGTCATCCAATGATGATTGTTTTGACTCCAATACCTGCAGTTTTGGCGGTTAACAATACCATTCAAACAGAAAGTTGCCTCGTCTGAGAAAAGGACTTGCCGATGAAACTATGGGTTGCGATCGGATAATGTTGAAATGGTTTCATAAAATTGGGTGCGGCGATCAGGATCGTCTTCGTTGAGTTCTTGTATTAAATGAATTTTGTACGGGTGATATTTCTCTTTTTTCAAAATACGCAAAACTGATATTTTTTCCCCCAGCAATATTTCTGCTCGGCTATGAGGATTTTCTTGCAGCTGCAATAAGATATTTAACTTAATGTCCTCGTCTATTTTCATACTACCTGTATGGACATATTTTATGTGACCAGAATCTCGAAATTTCTTTGCTTACAGTGGCTTGATTTATTGGATGATATGGATACTTGTTATTAAATATATCACACATTTCTTGTTGTGTTCTGACTTTGTCACCGTGTCTCAAATAAATTAGAATTTCTATCCGCTACGTTTCTGTTAGATGCGCCATCTACTTAAGTAATAGCACTGTCCTAAATAATAAAAAATAGTAGTAGTGAACAAGGTACATCAGTTTCAACTGATTTTGACGTTACCTATTTAATATTTAGTTGCTTGACGACGGCTACAATGCGTGTTTTTCTGGAGAGTTTTTTAAGTTTTTTGTTCTTTACAAAAAAAACATGAAACGGTACTAAAAATTTGCAAAATAACCTAGCTTGTAATTTAAATAGTGACATTTAACAAAATCATATTTTATACAATAAAATTATGCGTTTTTAATGAAATTATACCTAAATACCTCACTTATATTCTTTACATTCAAGTCATTGCGTCCTAATGATCAAAATACTTAAATCACCGAAACATTTATTTTTTATGGATTTTTCAGATTTGAAGCAACTTTCTGTAAACCACACAAATCTAAGATGGAAAAGTAAACGCGGTTTTATTTTAAAGCCAGCAGGGTAAATCTCAGGGTAATTTTTGCAAATTTTCCATATTCTATATTCAGACGCCATTATCTCGAAAACTGTTAAAGATAGGTATAGGTTATGTTACATAAAAAATGATCAGAATTCCATGGAGAATTGAATAAAAATACAAAAAAGTGGGGTTTCCATTAAAAAAAGTTGGCCTTGATTTCATAACTTTTTTTTGGGCCATCATGTATAAATGAAAATTGCTTCAGAAAATGCGCAACTAAAAATATAATTCGACGGGTCCCAGCGATTTTTCAATTAACGAACATCTGATTTTTAAATAAATATATTCCATACTTTTGCCGCTCACGGTATCACAATTTAATTTGCTTCTTTTTGAGGCACCTTTTCTGAGATTATCTGTCATTTCTTAATTCTGTCACAAATTACCGAAATTCATGAAATAGTTGAGAGCTACCAGAATTTGTGTCCGTCATGTTTTAAGTAACAGTTGTCAGGCGCTAGTGTCTCATTTACTGTCTAGGCATTAGAATGATTTTTACTGCAGCTAACTTAAAAAATTTGTTTTTAATGAAATTAATTTTATTTATTGTAAACATTTATAGTGTGATTAGAACAGCCTGTTAGGGATATCCGTTGTCCTGTTTGTTTTGAAACATTTACTTCGTCTATATAGGTTGAAGTGTTTTCACTAGAAGATGGTTTATGAACTATTGAATCATCCAAAGTAGTTGAATTTATTTAAAAAATCAGGAAATTTTTTTGCTAGCAACTGATGGAATGAGTTATGGAATGGATTACTCAATGTAGCCTTCAGAAGATTTCCATCCACCATGCATCAATGTCCGGTATATTCGTGAGCATCCTTCAATTTGAGAAACACAGCAACTTGTTTTGGCATTTTACCAAATGTATTAATTCCTATTGATTGGTTATATGCTTTACCATTTGAATATTAAAAAAAAATCTATTACTATCTGTTTGTGGAAAATCTTACGGTACTATATTTCCGATATTATGTCTAAATATTCGCTTACAATAAAGGATCTTTTTTCTTTGTTTTTGTAGTTGACAGAGAGATCAGCAATATATTTCCCACATCTTCATTATCTCCAATTTTAAATTGAAGTACCTAATTCGTCACATCGACACGGTCCAGACATGGTCCTAAAATAATAATAATCAGTATTCTTCGTTTACAAAATATTTTGTTTATAATTACCTTTGTACCTAAATACTTATAAGGGGCCTCCAAATTTGTTAATTTGTTCATTTTCTAAAACGCGTAATATTTTTTAGCAAGATATCCATCCGATTACCGTTTCAACAATGCTGTTAATTTTAAATGCTTCCCAATATCGATGTTGTCGTAAACATTCAAAGTAGCTCTGAGCATCGCATGTATTGACCATAATGAAGAAGATTTCATACTTTTGCTTAATTCAGAAAAATATACCAATAGTACATTTTCTGAAATAGACTATTATTCTCAGCCCGGTAATCATACATTTTTTATATGTTTGCTGATATATCTACTGATAATAAATTACACTCTATTTGCTTTGCTAATTCAATAAAATTTCTGGCGCAGTTAATGTGAATTCTTCCATCTCAAATAATAAATAGTTATTTTTATGGATATAAATAGGAATAATATGGTGAATACTGTGTACCTAAATTATTTACTTAATAACGCTCGTATCATAGCAACTAGAGTCAACCTGATGAAATTATTATTATTCATGAAAGAAGTATCATACAGATTTAATAATATAAAATAAATAGCTTTAATGTATTTACTAAGCGGTAAAGTAGGTTTAATGTCTTGGCTGCTTTAATAGACTCGGCTGCGCCTCGTCTCTTAAATATCAGCCGCGGCCATTAAAACTTGTACTTTACTGTCTAGTTAAGCAAATAACTAATATATTTGATGTACTATACGTTTTTAAAACACGGGAACACTATTTTAAATCGCCCTATATAGATAATTCAACAGCCCAAAAAAAAGTATTATTGAACTTAATTGGTTCCCAAATGTCGGTAATTTAATCTGTCAATGCATTCCTTCACTACGTCTATTACCCAACTGTTGTTAATAAGTGTCAATATTTTTTTTGAGCGTGCCTGAATAGCACTGAAAAATAAAATCTCACTACTCGCTTTTTTTTTATGAAAATATATACTATATAGTTTTCTGTTGACATCAACGTTATGTTACGTAAACATAATTCTAATTTTCTAGTACGCATTCCAGTACTTTTGAATCTGCCGATTTCTTACATTTACAATAATCTCTACGTACCATAAGTACTCAGTACAAAAAGTTTCTATTTATTTTTATGTGTCGGTGTTAAGGCCTGATTGCTTCTTAGTCTGCAAATAGACTGAACTAGATTTGGAAGAAAAAATTGTTTACACTCTGACTGCTTATGACGCTAAGATATAGTGCATGTTTTGTGAGTCAGAATAAACTTGACAGATACGTAAAGCAGTGTCAAAAAATTTAAAGTATCCTGTGAATATGTTTGCCTCCGTGGGGTCAGTCCTGAAATTGCATACGTGGTCAGACAATCAGCTAGAACAGATAGCAACGTTCAACCCAAAAAAGAGTCATGGGCCCGACCCAAAGATCATAAGCGTTTCTTGGTGTCACGACAACAGCTACATCGCTCTGCTTCCTGAAGACAGCCAACCGCAGATTGTGTCGTCCAAAGACAAAAGGAATATCAATTTGGTCCACACCATCAATGCTTTAAAAGACGTAACAGCTGTGACTTTCAAAAACCATACAAAGAGGAATATAGCGCTAGCTAATAAATTAGGAGAAATAGTGATTTACGACACGAAAAATAGAAATATTAACAGCAAAATCGCCTGTTTACCTGGATTTATAAAATTCTTAGAGTACAACTATCGAGATGAGCAACTCGCTATATTAGGTGAAAATGTGTTAAGCATATTTGTGGAACACGAAGGAATGAACGGGTTCATAAAAGAATTTCAGAGTGAAACGTCAACTATCATCAAATATCACCCATCGATACCAAATCTCATCGCCGTAGGTAGTGAAAATGGATGTGTAACTCTATGGGACACAGATAAAGAAGAAAAACTGAGTAGTTATCAAAAACATTCATCGTCAGTGACAGGAATTGGCTTCTCCCGCAGTCAAAAGATGATGGTGACCACAGGAATGGACAATAAAATATGCGTCCTAGACAACTCTTCTTCTGACTGTTTGTTCAAAATGAGCATTCACCAAGCGGTTACGTCTGTGGACATAAGTCCAGACGATTTTTATATAGCTGCTGGTTTGGAAGACGGATGTATTTGTATCTATGATATTCGAGATCCTCTAAAGTATCTCATTTGTGCTCAGGTCCACAACTCTTCAGTCAACAAAATCTCTTTTGAGAAAGGGCCAGTAATCGTTGAAAGTTTACACGATGGCCATTCATTGACCACAATTAACGGTAGTGATTTTTGTGACAATCGTAAAGCTGAGATAACAAATCCTGAAGGAAAAAATAATAACAATTTCGAGGATAACTTGAAGAAAGAGTTGTTCAAAATGGTGAAGACGCAAATGAATTATCTAGAAACACAGCTAGCTGAGCATTGCACAAAGTTTCAGTCTTTCATTAACAAGGAGTTTGATTCGATCCATAACGCTATGGGGAGGTGGGATGTATTCAACGTGGGCGATACCAACGAAATTGTGCAAGCAATCGACACCACAGATGTCAAAAGTACCAAAAGCGTATCAACTCGGAAATCCACCAGCTATTAGTTGTTGTGTAGTGAATTTTAATGATTACAGATATTCGAAACTAGATTAAATGAAATTGTATAGGGGATCATGTCTGAATGGTAAACGTTGATGTAATCAATTTGCCCGCTGATATAGGTGTTAAAATACTATTGAAATAAAATAATAACTCACTATTTGGGGCTAATTTATTTAATAGTGTGTCTATAAGCTACTGGCATAATATTTCTGCAAATAGTGTGCGCTCTGAGTATATTTTCATCTTATATTATCAATTCGAATAATGAATGGTAAAAATATTCTAAGTGTACGTACACTCCGAGGGGTGATCCGCTGATGTATTCTTCGTACGTTTGCCCTGGAATCTTTATGTAATCGTTTCTGAAATCTTTGCAATCTCCGTGTAATTAAGACGTTTTAATAATTATCTTTTTGAAATTTTGTAATCATCTAAGAATCTCTTTGAAATTGAAATCTATGAAATTTTATCTGTAATCTACGTAATCTTATCTGCAATCTATGTAATCTATCTGTAATCTACGTAATCTTATCTGTAATCCTCGCTGTAATCTATGTAATCAGTTAATGAATTTCGTCGATGTAGTCGTTATACAACGCCCCCCCTACCTCATTTTCCAAAGGATGCCACAGAAACCTCGACAGAAACCTATATGGTGTGATTTGTGTGTTCCGAAAGGTAATCCGCCAAGGAAAAAACATACGAAGATTACAAAATTTCTGAAATCTCTTGTAATGTATCTGCAGATTTCAATATCAATTCAAAAAAGATTACAAATTTCGTATAAATAATCAAGATTACAATATCTTTCAACATATTACAAAACATTTCAGGAGATTTCAGAGTTATTTTAGTAGATTTCAATGATTACTTAAGATTTCAATAGGATTATTACAAATTAAAAGAAGATTTCAAAATTTCTTAATAAGTTTTCAAGGAATACGGGAAGATTACAATAAGTTTTGAATATCCATTTAAACAAAAATAATTGAATTAACTTCAAACGTCATTCATTAACAGTAGTACTTTGATTAAAAATTTCCAGTATCAGGCATTTTTTGGGCAAAAATTGTAACATTCTGATAAAGTTTTTGTTCAAATGAACGTTAAAAACTTTTTGTCATAACAAAAATGATAATGCTATTTTGATAGTAGGTAAGTATTTTCCCAAAAACTAATAAATAAAAAATATATTAAGCTTTTATTAATACTCGCATTTAATACTTTACTTGTACCTATACAGTGTGTTTAAAAAAGACGCGGCAATATTTAAGGGAGTGATTGTCCAGGTCAGTTTATAAAAAAAGGTCCTATAAACATAGGTCCGCAAACGCTTCGTTACCGATCTATAGAATGTGAAATTTCATTAAAAACAGTAAAAATTAAATTTCTCCAAAACGCAGCGCCTTATTATTACCTACTACAAACAACAATACCACACTTCAAAAATAAATCAAGTTTGATAATTTGAATTTCTTTGTGCAATAATTTGAATTTCTAAATTAAAACAACATTGGTTTTAGGTGCGCAATAACATGTTTTTTATTTTTTTACTCAATAACGGTGTGACGTACGGTGTGTATAATCTGATCTTTCTTCTTCATAATTGAACAAGGAATTAAAAATTTTTATTTTTAGAAAAACCAGCGCGTCCTATTTTTTTCTTTAAAAATAGCTAGTGACGTGCCAATACGCGCGTCACTGGTAAGACTAAAAAATCATTTTGTATTGCAAAGTACGCGTCTGCCATAGCTATTGACAGGCCTAAAATTTCATTATAATATCAAGCGGTTTTGGAGAAATTTAGTTTTTACTTTTTTTAATGAAATTTCAACATTATGTAGATCGGTAACGAAGCGTTTGCGGACGTATGTTTATAGGAACTTTTTTTATAAAATGACCTGGGAAATTACCCCCTTAAATATTGCCGCGTCTTTTTTAAATACGCTGTATACAGGTAAAGTATTAAATACAAGTGTTAATAAAAGCTTAATATATTTCTTATTATTTATTTTTTGGGAAAATGTTTATTTTATGATAATTCTATTTTTTTATTTTTATTAGTTTATTGGATTATTATATTTTTATCTTTCAATAAAAATATATACTTACTTACTTTCAAAATGGCGTTATCATTTTTGTCGTGACAAAAAGTTTTTAACGTTCATTCGAACAAAAACTTAATCAGAATGTTACATTTTTTGCGTAAAAATGATATTGGAAATTCTTAATCAAAGCACTACTGTTAATGAATGAAATGAATGAGTTGAAGTTAATTCAATTATTTTTGTTCAAATGGACATTCAAAACTTATTGTAATCTTCCCGTATTCCTTGAAATCTTATTAAGAAATTTTGAAATCTTCTTTTAATTTCTAATAATCCTATTGAAATCTTAAATAATAATCATTGAAATCTACTAAAATAATTCTGAAATCTCCTGAAATGTTTTGTAATCTGTTGAAAGATATTGTAATCTTGATTATTTATATGGAATTTGTAATTTTTTTTAATCGATATTGAAATCTGTAGATACATTACAAAACATTTAAGAAATTTTGTAATCTTCGTACGTTTTTTCCTTAGCGGATCGCCCCTCGGTACACTCAGTACAAAAGTGCAAAAAAGTCGAAAACGTTGGTAATCTTTTGACAAATTTACGTTTATTTTTTGTTGGAAAAATGAATAAATGCAATAATAGCGTTCAAAAAAAATTAAATAATAATAAAAGAAAATTATTCGTAATTGGTTACGCACTCTGCATTTTAAAACAGTGATCCCTCTTCTGTCACTCTGTCACGTGACATACCACACAACCAGGCAAAATTTATTCGTACCCATAATACAGGGTGATTCACTTCAGTATTGCAGTTGATTAAATTACAAATAAGTTGGGCAACGATAAGCACTTGTCGTTTTTTGTAATTCCAAATTTAATTTATATTTTTTCAAATATAACAATATTTAATCTCAAAAATATATTTACTTCACTGGATTCAGAATCCCTCAAAACGGACCAAAACCAAATTTTAACAAAAATTTATTTAAATAATAACGATTTTTGATTGGGTTACAAAACAAATCAAAAATTCACAAGTCTACTTTTTTTCATTAATTTGTTATTGAAGTCCATGAAGCAAAACAAAAAATGAGGTAGTTAGCTAATTGTCAAAAGTCACAAATTAGTATGTAGTAAAGTTTATCTCGTGTTAATAACCATGGAAAATATACCATTAAGAGACATAATAGAAATTGTACGACTTGTTGGCGATAATGTGCGTTCGGTAAAAAATTCTGCAACAGAATTTAATACTAGGCACCCAGACAGACGAGTAAGTTGGAGTAGTGTACAGTATATTAATAAAGTTTTCAATGAAACAGGTTGTGTTTCAAACAAATTACTTAAAGCTGACCGTCGTACAATTTTGAGAAATAATAATAAAATTTTACAATAATTTAATAATAATCCCCGGGCTAGTTTAATTCTTAATATCTCTAGAGAAAGTATCAGAAGGTGCCTGGCAAAAAATAAAATAAAAGCTTTTAACGCAAATTTTGTTCATACTTTGGAATTGGGAGATGACGAAAGACATTTGAAGTTTTGTTATCGGCTGGAGAGAGAATATTTAAATAATCCTAATTTTTAAGTGAAATTTTAATTAGAGATGAGGCCACAATTACTAAAAATGGGCTAGAAACTACCNTATAAATTTTGTTTGTAGGCCGTCAGCATCTGGGGAGAATTGTGATCAGCGCCATCAGATTTGACAAATTACCCATAAATAATTGCCTCTTCCAAAGAAGGGTTTAAGAGAATGTGCCTAGACCTGGTGGCATAAAGCCAGCTACCAGCCTAACTTCTAAACCTGTGGCCAACCTCAACAATTACACAGACCCTTTATCCTGTATATCTATTGCAAAAATCGCTAACAGTTATGCCATCCCATGGGTACGCCAACATTTAGTGATTTTCCTAATTTTCCAGTTAGTTTCAATATACACATAAAATAAAATTTCAAATTCCCTTTGAATGACGATTTCAGGCTTTTTAGCCTTACAAGTCACTATATGAAATTCGCCATATTGATTTTTTGAAAAATAACTCTATACTCATGTCCAACTATGTCAAGGGCACCTGTGCAGACTATTTGGGTATGAATTTGTGGTTAATCTGATTACTGTGAGAAGTTTATCGGACGATTCTTTATTTTTCTCATACTTCTAGGCGCCTTATTATGTCCGCCATCTTGGATTTTGCAATTCTGCCAATTAGCATCTTAAAGTACTTGGAAAGACGAATTTTTTAAGCCGAAAACCATCTTCGTAGATGCTCTCAAATTTTGGGCACAGGCTTGATCGACTTGACGTGGACCGTCACATATATATTTTTAAAAACACTTTCTTTGTGGTCGAAGGAAACTACCCCATTAATGCAATGAATCAAAAATAACATCACTAATGAGTTTGATGGAAAACCAATAAAAAAAAAATATGCTTATTTTCCGTTTTTTTTTAAACCTCACAGTTTTGACAATAACAGACTAAAACTGAACCTTGTTATATCATTGTTGTCAATGCAACAAAAAATATTCTTTCTGACTAAAATGTAAGTAGACCACATACTTCTATACATATACAAAGCATTTTGAAAGGGAATTGAAGCCAAAAAGTGGGGGTGTTGCACTTTGTGTATTATACGCACGCGTTATGATTCATTTTCCCATTGGTCGGTTTGTCGGTTAACGTCATTGACATTTCCGAAGATAGTTTATGAATTTGAATAGAAAGACAGCTGAAAATGATTTGGTAAACAAACAAAAAAAAAAAGGAAATGAAACAAGGCGGACCCATGAAAAACATGGGACCAAGGACCAAGTAGTGGCAGAAGACTTGAAGAAAAGAGGAACAAACTAACACGAAGCGATGAATCTAGCAAAAAATAAAAAAGAAGACAAAATTTGTTTATAAGTAAAAATGTATATTTTTACACCCTATGGATACTT